AAACCAAGTGACCTAAATCTTTATACTTTATAGATTTGTGACCACAACGGCATGGGCAATGCACCACCAACAGAAAATTTGAATCAGAGAAGGGGCCGTTTTGGAAACCGGCCCTTTACTAACTGCTGTATAAATAATTAATTATACCACCAAAACTTCTACCAAAAGAAAAACTTTGCAGCTGAGAAAACGGTTTCCAGAGAGTTTTTTGTACATGTTTAGGGTTTTAAACCTACTATTTTAAGACCAAAATCATGCATATTATTTTCTATTGTAATGATGCAGGAAAGCAAAACGTAGATAATTATTTGACAAATCCTAAAGCTTACAAAGGTTTCACAAAGTGTGTATTTACCCACACGTCATTGTAAGTAGATAATGGAAACTTTCCACATTTTAATTTCTTCCTTTACTCTATTTTATGGTTTCTGTATGTGCTGTCACTCTTTCCAAACATTTTTCACGTTAAGGGACGTAATATATTTGGTAATAAGTGAATTGATGCCAGGCTTAAAGTTTGTAGAGTTTACAATAGTAACCACAATGGCAGGAACGATGGTTATATTTTTATAAACGAAGTCCTGAATCCTGATCATAACCCGCCATGCATTACCGAACCGTAGTATATAAACTTACAATGTTAGACTACTGGGCGTGTTATAATGAATTGTAATGGGCGTGGTTTATTCCATACAAATCGATCAGTCTTAAGGTCACGGAGTACGCGCACATGTACATTTGATTATTTATTCAATCCAGCGTTACGTTTAAAATGTAGGGGATTTATTTATTCATTTTTTGTGTGTGAAATTCTGAATAATCGTGCTCGCTGACCACGACCCATAATCTAGGCGTCTATACACAGTGTACTGACTCATGAACAGCTGATTCTGGTTCGACTCGAAATCTTTGGTATACCATTCTGTTTATCCGAGCTATATACATATGTCGTGTGACCTTCAGAGGATATATGGGGTATATATTGCATCTATGAAACTAAGTTAGTCAGAAAGAAGACAGCTTCAGACCTCGTAAGTAGTTAACTTGGCTTTTCATCGTGTTAGACACCGACTTGCCATTTGAAATATCTACTTATATTAACGCGATACGACATCCAAAACGAAGCATACTATTGAGAAGACACAATAAGTGTAAGCTATTAGTACGTCACGTGATAAGTTCTTGGAAACGATTGTTTTACTATCTCTTTGTTACCTCGTATTAACGAGTGGTAAAACTATACGCATGGCACTAACTCAATAAAAACCGGGTTGCCTATGTGATTATTATCTCGGCGTAATTATTTTGTAAAATATGAAAAAAAAATCAATTCATAGCTTATGATGACATCTTTAAAAAAAATTATGACGAAAGAAAAAATTCCAAAATCGATGGCGGAAATATGTGTAAGTTCCCAAAGAAATCTTAATTACACTTTATGTCTATGGACTGGGAATGGATATTCACTTTTCATCAAGACTACGGGTTGTGCAGAAGGGTAAATTTGTGTTAAACTGACGTTTTAAATACAGATATAAAACGTTCCTTCTGAAGTATTTTCCCACGGACGGTTCCAGCCAAACAGTGTTTACAATGAGTGGCAATGAACCAGTCAAATTGAAATACGTTATGGGAACATAGAGCTATGGCGGAAAACTCCCCGTATTTCCCCAGGTCGGCATTTTTGAAAACGGGGGAAAAAAAATGAGTAAATGATTTTTAGTAGCGAAAATGTATGGAATAGATATATATAAAATTGAACATGAATTTTTGAACTGTTGAGATATTCGGTATTGTTAATATAATACTGCAAATATAGCCATGTTCACTATATCTATGAAAGTGACGGATTTCCCAGACTTAAAGAAATGCTTTCAGTACTTTCCCATCCGAGGACCAACTTTTGAAGAAACGTTTTGATTCCGTGATGTAATATGCAAAAACAAATCGTGTGACGGAAAAGTAGTCCTCCTTTGGAAAAGTGCTCAAAATAATGAAAAACAGGGTTGATTAAGTTTCTCAAAACTGCGATAGAGGTTTCTTGGGTTAAAACAATTTGTATTTCCGTATTTAGAGGCACGGTAGTCTAGTGGTAGGACGCCGGGCTCGTGACCGAATGGTTGCGGGTTCGAGTCCACGGCAGGACACTGTATTGCATCTTTGAGCAAGATGCTTTACTCCGCTTGTTCCAGTCTACTCAGCTGTTAATGAGTACGTGGTTTGGCAGTGCTAGAATTGTTGAATGTTAGCTGTTAGGGCCGAAATGGCACCTCCACAGGGAGTTGAGAAAGATATTGAGTGGTTTCAAAGGCCCTATTACCACGGATAATAATTTTTGAACAGCTTTGAGACGACCTACGAACTACGTTTTTTTTTTATGTATATATATTAAGGCATGTTATCATATTTTCTTAATTAAGTGATAAATATTTGCAAATCAATGGAACATTTGATTGATATCTTATTAACATACCTATTGATTTATCTCCTATGGAATCATGTCAACATATCTCTGTACACGTGTACAGTACAGCTACACTTTGTAGTGAAGACATCATTTTAAAATGATATTTATGATTTTTTTAACCCTCCAATCGGCATTTGTATTTTTGATGCCGAAATACAAAATATATGGGAAAAGCAAAATAAAGTGAACTGTTATTATCGCAAAGATATTTCCGAACATGCGGGAAAACTCATCGTCGAGGACATGCTCATTTGTTTTAAAAGCAGAGAGATTTTAGAGAGATTTTTATTATGACCCAGGTACACTATTGTGCGCAACAAGAGGTCATCATAAAGTACAATATAACAATGATATGGTTGACCGTAAAGCAATCATCTTACTATGCAAGCGTACACTAATATTGTGGAAACTATTACACTCCTCATACAATGATAAACACCATAGCAGGCAGACTGCAGCACGAAGTAAGGAGCGCAATACAGGTGTAAGACATGCTTTTCCGAAACTATATGTAATTTTACCATTCCAAGGTGCAGGAAGAACAAAGTCAAGATGTTTGCATTTTAAGAAAACAGTTAACGGCATGACGTAGGCAGTAGTAATGGAAATTAAATGCTTTCAAACTTGTTGGTAATGTTTACGATCTTGTGTTTCATAAAGGAAAACGCGAAATAAGCATTTACTTGAGTCTTTATCGTGAAACGCATGTTTTAATAGCCATGGCCTTATATTCGTCTGTTTACAATAATCTATTCTTAGACACGGGATTCCGATAGACCTCATGTGTACAAATACCTGTGGACGCGTCATAACAGTACACAGCTGGACACGCGCACTAACGTTTGGGAAATAGGCATAGCAACCCGCCATAGCTCTTTAAAACTTTACTCTACAAATTAGATAAAAGTGGCAGTTATCATGTAAGTTTTTCTGCAATTAGTCAGTCAGATAAAACCACTGTCATATCGATACTGATGTTTTAGTTGTACCATTGACTTTTTCTTTATATTTTTTTTAGACAAAAAACTGTAAATCATGGAGGCGTACATGCACTATGTCTCCAGCAAAATAGCGGATATCCGGAGCCCAACGGAACCGGAAACGAAGCCATTACAGTTTGGAGAGCTGAAACTGTGGCCGTTCTGGCGAGCCGTACTCGCTGAATTTGTCGGTACAATGCTGTTTGTGTTCCTGGGATGTATGTCTGCTATTGGGCTCCAGGTATACGCTCCACCTGGCCACGACCCTGTTAAGGTAGGTCACCAGCTTCATCATTAATAGAAAATTGAAATTAAGTACCCCCGTAACGCTGCATGTCAAACACCCAAGAATTTTAAATAGTTTTTGTACATGCTGTAACATCCCCTTTATTCTGTTTTGGATATCATTATAGCACGACTGAGAAAACATAAACCGGAAGTCACGTGTCTCAGTGCCACTGTGGCTTGGTATTGTCGATGTCTCTTACAATATATATATGTGTGTACATGTACTGTATATAGATAACGTAAGAATCCGGAATCTAATATGAAATAGGCACTGCCTATAAGCGAGCGCACATAGTTCAGTAACCTTTGTGATGATAGTGTAGATCTCGGGCGCCTGCAGCGCCCAAGCTAAGAACTCTAGGGTAACAAAAAGAACAGAATCCCTCCTTAGGACATATGTGCGCTGAAAAAGAAATGAATGGTAGTTTTACTAGTTTAAAAAAAATGTCTTTATTTAAGAAAACCTATCAGATATTCCATTTAGGCCTTTTTGTTGTTATATTACTTATTTACTATCATTTTAGCACCCTTTTCAATATATTGCCTGATCCCTTTAGGGCAACATTTTCTCAAGACAAAATTAAAGAAATATGATTTACTGCGCATAGAAAATATTTATTAACAAGGCAATCCAATAGATCCCATTGCCACTGGTAAGAATTTCTATACACAAACAGTACACTTATGTCAGGAAGCATAAAGGGCCACAGTGAGGTCATAGTGATCTACTTCACTCCGCCATCCCAACATTTCCTTGTTCACTAAATCTAGTTACTCTATGTGAAACAGCATATGCCCCGTACACATATTTTCAAAAGTAAAGGTCAAAGGTCAAGTCATACGTCACAGTGACCTAAATCGTGCACTCTTCACTCTGCCATCCAAAGATGTCCTTGTACACTAAATCTGGCTACTCCGGGTGAAATAGTATAGAAGATATGCCCCAGTCCAACTTTTTCAAGTTAAAGGTCAAATGTCAAATCATATAGGACACAGTGAGGTCAGTGAGGTCAGTTCATGAGAATCTATATGTTTGCCTAAATTGCCAAGCCCAATGCCCCAGACTAGTAAAACACTTCAATGTTTACTTTGAAACATAAGTTGGGCTTGTATTTGTTTTTCGAAACAACCTTCAAACTATAGTTCACTAATTATTATGTTGTATATCTCGGCCATTTATGACCCCTTGAAGGTACTAACATGATTGTATTCCTGGGTGGTAACAGACCTGCGGAAAACTTTGGTAGTTGTCTATGGATTGCCAGTAGGTGTTTTTGCATTATAGAACACCGATTTCAACCATCTAAATGTGATAAGGTCACCATGCTGGAGTGACAGGACCCTAGGAGCAATCACAGTTAGTATGAGTATATTAATCTTTTAATAACCTGCAAAGACCATGGTAATGATATAACTGTTGGCGGGTATATAATTGTCTGACATACGGTATATATTGCTGACAATTTTGAGAGAAAATGATATAGTGAAGGAATGAACGACACGGGGGTAATGAAATAAAAAATTCAGATATAGCGACTTAGGACCTTTCCATCCATGAAGAGTGTTTGATTCTAGCATATCTGGATCTGAAGAAGAAGATTTTTGAAATTTCAGCCAACTTGCCCTCTTTGGCCCCTCCCTACAAGCCCTAGGGAAGGGCCAGGTTCTTAATTATTATACCATCAAAATTCAGTCACATGATAGTCATTCCAACCAACTTTGAATTTGTACCCAAAAGTGTTTTTTCCCCATATAAACTACAGTTAGGCCAAAAACAAGATTTACATATGCTTCGGATAACTTGACCATGACCTACCTTAAACATTTCCTGTGGACCTTAGGGAACATTTTATCACCTACTTTGTATCCATGAAGATAATTTTGATAGTCCAGCAAAGATCACATGCACCGTTATGGGTTATGGTCATGGGATCCTGACCACACTCTTGACAGAATAATAACAATTAAAATGCATATAAATTCATTCTTCATACATTTGTTATTACCCTGTAAGTATATATTGATCCATGAAAATTAAAAAATTAAAAAAAAAAGTCTGCTTACTGACCAACTTTATTTTACTCTGGAATGTGGCCTCAAAAAACATTTTTGTTTTGTTTTATCTTAAACATAAACCCTTTCTCATGGAGAAATGAATGATCCAGAGGTAGCAAAATATTCATAAATTTGCAATAGGCCTACAGGACCCTTCCATCTATGAAGAGTTTTTGATTTTAGCATCTCTGTGCCTGAATAAGAAGACTGTCGCAAATTCACTCATTTTGACCTCTTTTGGGCAGATTAGATCCACATGTAATTCGTTTTGGCTTGCATTTGACCATGAAACTGTTCTTCAAAAAACTCAGTGGTTTAAAGGTTACTATGAGGAACAAAAAGCATTCACACGAGGTCAACACCAATACTTTGATAACTAAATAAAATCCATTTTCTAGCTTAAGTTTACAGATCATAAATGTAATAACTCACTGCCTACCAAGATGTTCGAATGTCCTGTTGTTGTATGAATGCAGTAAAGAACAAATTATTAACAAGGATACACACATTTATATCAAGTGTACTAATGGGAAATGAGTTGTATATAAATAGTTGTTTATGTTTATATATACATAATTTCAAGTTGTACTATTATTTCAACCAGGATTTGAACCTGGGTCTCCCACCACAGAGTGGCGACTGTGATGACCACTACACTATATAAATATATATATATAGCACAACTGACCTTTTCTTTCAAGAATTATTTCCATTTATAAAATGTTTTAACCTTTGCATTTATATTTACATTCTCCCTCTGCCTTTCTTATCACTTTGGAAATTAATATACTGGTATTAATCAAGTTTATGCCAGGCTCAGAACTATAATTTGCGATGTGTAAAAATTAATTATGAGTTTGTTTTATTCCAAGAGATATACCAGTAAAATAAAAAGATCCTTAATTTGCATTAATATTAATTATGATTCTGCAATATAGTTGTCAAAATTAAGATTGCACACATATACTGGTACATGCAATTCAAATCTGTACATAAGGTTATCCATGACAAGTTATCACAGTAAATTCTCCCCAGTTGAATCACTATATTTACTTGTAGTTGACAGGGTGAAATCACTTAAATTCCCATAATAAGAACCTTCATACAATACGTTTCATTTTTAGATATCTCATATACCAGCATTTAGTTATCAAAATGGTAAAATGATACCACATTGACAAAGGTGGAAGAAATGATGTTATAATGTTGACTCGTTTGTTATGTTTTATTATATTTTCATTTTGAAAATTTTGAGGCTGCTTTGTTCTTTAATATTCATTTTTTTATGTTAAAATATTTCGAAATTAGATTATATATATATCCTAAATCTCTTAGATAAATATGTCCAGTGTAGGAGCTGTTACTGTACATATAACACAGTGAATATGGCTATATTTGCAGCATCATATTAACAATACCTAATATCTCAGCAGCTCAAGAATTCACATTCATTTGTTTTTGGTAGAGTTTGTGACCAGGTATATCAATGATCTATAGGTAGAGTTTGTGACCAGGTATATCAATGTTCTATAGGTAGAGTTTGTGACAAGGTATATCAATGATCTATAGGTAGAGTTTGTGACCAGGTATATCAATAATCTATAGGTAGAGATTGTGACCAGGTATATCAATGATCTATAGGTAGTGTTTGTGACCAGGTATATCAATGATATAAAGGTAGAATTTGTGACCAGGTATATCAATGTTCTATAGGTAGAGTTTGTGACCAGGTATATCAATAATCTATAGGTAGATTCGACGAGTTTGAATGGATTTTTAACAATATATATCGGTAACGAACTTCTTCGGGGAAGTGCCCCGGTTACCGATTTGTGATATGTTTTGAGTGGTTTTCGATCAAAATACGTGTAGTTTTGTTGCTTTCCGAGTATGAGTTTCATTACAATACATGGGATGTAAGTTGTGTGGCGAGGAGATACCTATTTCTGCACATATACAGGTAAGCTTGTTGTGCTTCAATGGCTTTTTGTTGCGAAATCTTCTTGTACCCAGAGATATATATATCATAAGTTACATAATATATACGTCTAGATCTCTGATGTACCTAAGTTGTACAGTACATTTTTTTTGACGTTGCGCAACTTGAGTAACTCTAACTGTTTCAGCGGTAATCATATCTGGTCTATTTATTTCATTTTTGTTTCTTTATAACATTGTTAAAAAACCACTAGGTAATTATCTTTTTTTTCCGGAATGTTAGTCCGGCTTTGCTCATATTTGTGGCAAACTTCCTGTTTATTTTTTTTTTACATCCGGTTTGCCTCTTGTGCAATGTGTGCGTTGCATTGAGCAGATAATTATTGTTTGTCGAAGTGTCTCTTTGGCACGTAGGTTAACAGTTGTCTACGACTGAGACCATATATACTATCTTTTATGTTTCTTCTTTTTGTTTGCATGTTTTACGTTCTGTTTTCTTCTCTATATATGACAGGCCTTGCATGTTTGGTTAATACGTCACAGGGGATCGTTACAGATGATGTGGTATACATGAGATGGAACACATGTATATGTGACCCATCTCATTTATTATATCATTTATCACGAACCCCTGTGATGATGCTGTTTAGACTGTTAGGCAATTATTGGCTTCTAATAACATAACGATTCTGAGTGCTAACTGTCAGGGTTTATCTGATAGATTTAAACAAAAATATGTTTTCTCTTGTCTAAAGAATCAATCGTATAATATTTTTTGTCTTCAGGACACGCATTTTACTCAGGATAAAGAAAGTCTTTTAAGAAGTGAGTGGGGTTATGAATGTTTTTTTAACTCTTATAAATCTAACGCCAGAGGGGTAGCTATATGTATTAATAATAATTTTGAGTTTAAAATTCACAAAGAAAAGAAGGATAATACTGGTAATTTTTTGGCTCTAGATATTACAATTGAAGGATCAAGAATGACTCAGG